GGCAGGAGTTTTTTGTTTGTTTGTTTATCTCATTGGCTTTTTAGTATATACAGTGGTGGAAATAAAAAAGTTAATTTTGAAAATATCTTTTGTTTGCAATGTTAAATACGTTTCTGCATCTCAGCTTAACTTGTTTCTCTTTGCTATGTGAATTTCAGAGGTGGACCCGGTGATGAGCCCGGTGGTCATCAGTTTGCTGGTATCTGGTCTGACGTTTGTGGTGGCGACATGTGCCATTCTGATAGCTGCCAAAGTCTACTGTAAAAGAGTGAGGAAACCCACTGAACTGGAGCGAGAGAGCAGGACCTGTAAGTAACTACATAATATTTGAAAAAATTAATTAATTTGTCTCTTCTTTTACTGGCAATTGTTATGTTTACATTACAGGTGTTGACAACACGTATATTGCCTTGACAGTCAAGTAATGGGGGTTCAGAATGAAGGTAATGCGAGTTTGATTTTATCTTCATTTGCCTTTGAAAAGGGTATAAGCAGAAGAATGCAGAAGGACTTTTAATTTGTCAGTAACCTGGGTCAAATGCTACCGCTGAACTGTATGCCATTACAAAATCGTGTTTAAGGTTGGTTTCTTTAAGGCTCTTTAAAAATGTATGATCTTCACTGCCTGATTGATATACGACATAAAGTGGATCTCAGAATGCACAAGAAGCAGTGCATTAAATACAATACTGAATTTAAAAAATGTTAAATTTGAAATTAATTTTACCCCAGTATTTTGGAGTTTCAGCAATCGTCTGCTGATCCTGACGGGCATGTGCGTGTTAACAGTCTTTCATCTTATTTTACGCTTGAACATCTAAATGAAGTCTATAAGCTGAAGTCTATATAACTGATTATATATATTTAATTATATTACAATATGGATGCTGTAAAAGGAACCATATAAGTTTGAAAAAAAGTCACATTATACTTTCAACTAAAGTTCATTGGTATGGGAAGAAACACTAGCTATTTTTTTATGGATACAATATTTGACCAGATTAGCCACAGCACATAATTTTGTTATTCAGTTTTGTGCCAAAAAGCCACGAATACTCAGTGCTTTAAATTCTTTACACCAGACCTCGCATCATATGGTTAGGACATCTTATAATCTTAGTTAAAGACCTTATTAAGGCATAGTTCATCCAACAATTGGAGTAAACGAGTGAGTAGATTTTGGGGGAACTATCCCTTTAAATAAGATTATAGCTGCTGATTAAAACGTTTTTTTTTATTCATAAAATGCAATCAAACTACTGCCAGCACTCAAAGTCAAAATATATACTAAAATAAACTATCCCTTTAACTTCACAATAACAGACAAAGAAGGGAACACCTGTATGCTGATTCGATGTTTTTTGTTTCAGATGTAAGAAGCTTCCCTAAACCGGTCCAGTTGTGGTTGCTGTTTCAGCCTGTTCAAACCCAAGGGGAGATCAGAAACCGCACAAACCACAATTTCTTCCTTTCTGCCATTGTCTGTCAGATGCAGAGAAAAGCATTTCCGTTGTCATTCTTTTTTCTGACTTTCAATGTTAATGGAGATGGGCGAGATGTTTCTTTGTAAGTAGATGCTGAGATCACTAGACTTGAAGAGGTGACATTACAACACAAGCTGTTGCACTATCATGGATTTAAAAAGGGCTTTTTAGTTTTTAGAGGTACCATGTCTGACCCACCCTGAGGTCTTCCCATAATGTTGCAGGTAAAGACTGTAAAACTGTGAAATGTTTTGGGTGTTTTTTTATTGTTTATTTTTTTTCAAGGGGCTTTATTGTTTAAAATGATATATTTATTGTGTTTTTTTCTACTACAGTTGTTTTTTGAAGATCATATGTGTATAATGTTTGGTTTAATCACAGATGGGAACTGGGTCAGACAGCCCTAAGAACAACCTCTACAGCTTTAGGTCACTACATGAATGTGAAAGTGTCATTTCATTGTATATGTGGTCAAGTTTGTTCATAAGTTCTCATTGGAACCATGGTAAATGCTTGAGCTGGTATAAGAACAAATCCTCAGACACATAGTAACGTAGTGTTAGTACAACACAAGATATAATCCCTGTATTTACAAATATGACGGAACAATAATAGTTTTAGTGTGGACTAGCAGTATACAGTCAACATTGAAAGCAGCAGCATTAACGTCTTGTGAATCCAAGAAAATAATAAACACTACAGAATATACACTCCGTTTATAACTAGGAAAAGAAAACTGTCCAGATAAATTATTTGAAACGAACAACTTGTTTAAAACATTTATATAGGTTTTTTTATTAATAAATAAGAAAATGTTAAATGCTCAATTAATAATGAAAATATGTTAAAGACACTGCTCTCACCTTATGTTACATCCATGTCTTGTAGTGTGAACTAATGATTGTTTTTTTACGTTGTAGTTTTATCGGTACATACAATAAAATTTGTAAACTTGACTTGTGTCGTGTTTTCTCTTTAGAGTGGAGTGCCGCCCACACTAATCAACGTATTATTCAGTCACAAGATGGCGCCAAACAGTCAAGAACAATGGCGTGAAAGATAAACAAATTTGCTAACGGTCAAGATGATAGGGCCAGAGGGAATCTGCGGACATCTTTTGCTTTTTCTGTGAAGAATTTTGGTAAAAATCAGCAGAATGATTTTAGGAGTATCATAACTTAAACCTTAATATGTGAAATAAAAAAATTATATCTTTTTAACTTTAATGTTTAAAATGCAAATCCAGATTCACTTTATTTGATAAACAAGCAAGTCTTTCATATACTAAAAGACAGAAAATATTACTTAGCAAACTGTATTGTACATAAATCAGAGGAAATTTTTATATCAGTCAATAATATTACTGTAATTAATATAAAAACAGAGTAAATATAGATTTACACACATTTACACATAACTAACGATGGGCTAAAAATCTGCGGAATTCTGTGTGCGCAGATTCGTGTGGGCCTATACCTGAACAGGTAAAATCTGAACAAACTGAAAAAAAATACCTTGAAATTTTGTGAATAACCAAACAGAATGAAATATTCCAAGAGTTAAACGTCATAAAACCGTTATTATTAAAGTCCTGTAAAATGTTCTACAAATGTTTATAAAGGATTTGAAGGGTTTTGTTACTGTTTATAAATGAAGGTCTGCAAAATTGTTGTTTCTTTTAAGAAAGAATGGAACTTGAACTATTATGAAAATTCTTCAACAACTTCTCAAACAACTTTGACGCTTAAAAACAGTTCATCTTGTTGGCATGTCGAGAAGGAGCATTTGTTGTCAAGACAAAACATTTATTCTACTCTGCATTTACTTTCACAACAGCTTTCACTGAAGCTGCAAAATGAATCACATCTGCAGTTTGTTGTTTATGATGACGGTTTACAAAAGTGCTCACATTTGAGAAGGGTATAGATGCAGACCTGCACTGCAAAAAATCCTTTTCTTAATTTTCTCTCTTGTTTTTAGTCCAAATATCAAAAAAATTACTAAACCAAGAAGCATTTTCTAGACAAGCACAAATTATTGTCTGATTTTAAGAAATAATATGCCATAATTAAGTGAGTTTTTCCTTAAAACAAAGGGGTAAGAAAAATAATCTTGTCAAAACGAAAAACAAGATACTTTTTCCTACCCCATTGGCAGATTATTTAACTAAAACTCACTTAATTTTGGCATATTATTTCATAAAACAAGACAAGAGTTTGTGCTTGTCTAAAAAAGGCTTCTAAACATTTAATATGTTTTAGATATTTGGACTAGAAACACAACAAAAACTCTTAAGACAAGCTTTTTTTGCTGTGTGGTTCAGTGGAATCTGAGCTGCATCGCCACCCCTAACCTACCCCTCACAGTGACGTCATTAGCTCCAGTGAGTGCATTGTGTCTGATATTGCATCACTGAGATATGCAGTCTCAGCATGCATCATCAAGGCTGCATCCAGATACTATTGACACATTCAACAAAACTCCAGCAATTTCAGCAGTGACTAAACCCAAACATCTCTGATTGGCCAATGTTTTAAAGATACAGTTCACCCAAAACTGATAATGCTCTCATCATTTACTCATCCTTCACATATCCTAAAGCTTCTGTTGGACACAAAAGATACTTTAAAGAATGTTGGAAACCGGTAACCACTGACTTCCATAGTCTTTTTTTTTAACTATGGATGTCAAAGATTGCAGGTTTGCAACATGATTCAAAAAATATTTTGTTCAACAAAAGAAGAAAAAAAATAATAAAGGTTGGAAACCACTTGAGGATGAGCAAATGAGCAGTACTTTTCCATTTCTGTGTGAACTAGCCTTTAATAATCACAACAGATATATCTGCTTGGTTATTTTCAATGCTAAAAAGACTACAGTTTAAGTCAGAATTATTAGCCCCCCTGTTTATTTTTTTCCCCAATTTCTGTTTAGCGGAAAGATTTTTTCCAACACATTTCTAAACATGACCGTTTTAATAACTCATTTCGAATTACTGATTTATTTCATCTTTCACATGATGACAGTAAATAATATTTGACTAGATATTTTTAAGACACTTCTATACAGCTTAAGGTGACATTTAAAGGCTTAACTAGGTTCATTAGGTGAACTAAGCAGGTTAAGATAATTAGGCAAGTTATTGTATAATAAAGGTTTGTTCTGTAGACTATCGAAAAAATTAGCTTAAAGGGGCTAATAATTTTGACGCTAAAATAATATTTAAAAAAATTAAAAACTGCTTTTATTCTAGCCGAAATAAACAAATAAGGCTTTCTCCAGAAGAAAAAAATATTATCAGACTGTGAAAATTTCCCTGCTCTGTTAAACATCATTTGGAAAATATTTTAAAAGAAGAAAAAAATTTAAAGAGGGCTAATAATTCTGACTTCAACTGTAAATGTGCCTCAATCAAAATGAAATGCATGAACACTTTTTATTTTAAAATGATACTTTTCAGTTGTAATATATATTTTTAAAGGTGCCGTATGAAGAATTGACAACATCATTGCAGTCCAAGTTTAAAATATTGTTTTTTTTTTACTTGTATAAAAAAATAGTTTCTATTGAAAGAAAACTCCAGAACACCCCAAACAATAATCACAGAACACAACAAAGAAGCAGTTATTACATTCATATCATTTGGCTCCAAGATTTTCAAATGCATGAGCTACAATACGTCTGATATTTCCAATGAAAAAACAGCTTACTGACCATTGTAAAACAATGAAGACCAAATCCAGTGACTGTAACCAATGAAATGGGTTTATGAAAATCCTACAAAATGTTTTTCAGTTACTGTCACATGAGACTGAGAAATTACAAAAAATTACAGAACAGTTAAATATACCTCAACACTGTAATATCCTAAAAATAACCCAACAGGTGCATCCTGAAACACCCACTTCCTCCATATTTGCGATAGATTAACAATGGGTTATTATTTTGATAAAACACACACACGGCAAGTTAAAAACGCATTGCAAGATGTCGCATATCACACCCAGTGTATTGAATCAATGCTTGTTTAAAATAAAAATGATAGTTCGGTTTGATAAGATCACTAAAGGAAACCCTATGTCAGTCTTTTGACAGGACCTGCTGGTTCCATATTTATAAAAACCAAGTACAGGAGAGCAGACACAATCACAAACACTAATATCTGAAGCCAAATTGGGACCAAACGCGTTGAACTATTTTCTGGTGTTTTCTGCGTTGGAGGCTCCGCAGGTGTGCTTCTTGAAATATTACGGTAAGATGATTGAGTCCGATATACGACAGGCCTTCAAAAAAAAACAAACAAAAAAGAAACTCGAATGCATTAATGTATAAATACGTTTGCTCTAATATTCAAAGATCTTAAGTATAATTAAAAGCCATCTTACTCATCTACGTAGTCCATCGCTCTATAATCTGTCCAAGTTCTAATAAACCGAAAATATAAGTATTATTTAAAGGTTTGATCCTAAAATGTTTCAATTGCTGTGCATATTAGAAGGACTTACCTGTCACTCACATCACCGTATTGTTGCTGAATGAATGTACATTTAACATTAGTGAGATTAGCAACAGGTTTGAAACTAGTTTTATTGAATGCTGTAACCGTTTATACTCACAGGTCTGCGATGATGAATGTAAGTGACATCCTCTGTAATGTAAAGGTGTGAGCTGTTAAAATCACAGACATTATTATTTATGTGTTGTGTATTGATTGTTACGTAAGCTTTACCTTCCTCCCTGTAATATGTCCTGTCAGATTGAGGCTTTTTGCTTTTAGCAATGGCTTCTCTCAGCTTCTTCTCATAAAGAGCTCTGGTGGAATCTGTTGGTTTAATATACACACAAATCACATGCAATAAAAATGTCATTAAAGATCCTGAAGGAATGTAAACAATAGCCAAGGGTCGTTATGCTTGAACTTAAATCATGAATACACATTTAGAACTGGTTCAAATCAATTGTTATTTTTGAGCAGGGATGGACTTAACCAATAACCGAGATATTCAGCTGCTTAGGGCCCAGGGGAATTATGGGGTCCCGATGAATGCCAAGAAGCTTATACTAAGCATGTAGCTCTTCTAAATTTTCTATCATATCTGGTGAAATCTGTCTTTAACTATTAAGATCTTAATGTTATTACTTCTTTTCAAAATTGGGGGGCCCCCTATGAAAAGTGGAACATTCCTTCCGTACTGCCACAAAATCTATAGAGAAAGAACGTTTTGAGTTTCAATGGTAGGCCCCATACCTGGAATTGCTTAAGGCCCCTAAATCACTAAGTCCGCCAATGTTTTTGAGTTTACACAGATATGAAGATGTTTTACTGATTATTATAATATGTATTTGTGTTTGAAAAAAAAAAAATACTGTGGTTGTGTAAAACAATATTAAAAATAATAAAAATAAATGGTAAATCATAATAATCTTAACATAAAACCATTTCCGCCAATGCAATAAGTTAATGTACTAAAAACAGTAAAATGTATTTTAAAAATAAGAACTGTTACACTGAATATCTTAGATGGTTTTATCTATTAAAAAAATAAGATTTTAGAAATGCTAATCGCTTTGGGGGGTTGTTGTTGGTTTTAACTGCACACATTTGAACATACAAAACACTAAATACTGTTATTAAGGTAAAGTTGGTTTTATATTCACACATTTATTCAGTGACAACTTGTGACATGCCCCCTATATTGTTTACTATGGTACTTTGAATATTATTCAACTTGAAATCACATGCAAGTATGTCTTTAAAACAACATTAACAGTATTTATTTTACTATGAACAATATTGAACTCTGTTAGTCATTGGCTGCTAATATGATTTTACGACTTACAATTTGCACAAAAGAAAATTAGTTTTCTGAAATTATATTATTCGAAAGTCTCAAAGTGTTAATTAGGGCTGCACATTAAATCATTTCATGGATATGTGTGTGTCTGCAATAGTCACATCTGCAATGTTGATTATCACAACAGTTAAGAATACACAATATTTGTTGCGTCATAGCAAAGTATAACCATAACAGAGTGAAAGTTTATCATTTACATCTGTTTTAAAAGGATTTCAAAAGGGTTTAAAGCATTCAGGAACAAAAAAAGTACATTTGTAACTTTAAAGAGGAATTATTTTGTTGAATTAATCATGATTTTAATATTTCAACATCTGAATATTGTTTGACTCTCCAGAAAATCATTAATCACTGTTTATTTTTAGTTGTTCTTTTGTAATTATTTTTGCTTCCAATTTGTTTATTACTTTTTATACATGATTCACACCTTTAGATCCTAATCACCCCAATAAATCCTAATTAATGACTTCTTTCTAAATAGAGCTATTCAAGCCATCTGGTGAAATTGTTTTCACATTGCAATATTTATCCCTGAGAAACAAAACATTGCAATGTCAGATTTTTCTATTATCGTGCAGCCCTTGTGTGAATATGAAATAAACTTTACCTAAATAAAATCTGTTTTACTTACCGACCACAGGACCGTGTTTTATTCCATAATCATCCAGCATTAATCTGATGTCCTCGTTGGATTTGCTGCTCAACATTGCCATAACTCAAGCTGAATGATGGTGATGGGTTTCACAATGAAACACTTCACCTTCTGTGGACCGAAAATGAAAATTATGAGTGTATGACTAAAATAGAATACAGTGCAACTTCATCAAACGTAATTGAGATGTTAGCTGTATTCACTCACAATCATATATTTAATATTCACACAATATTTTATACTGCACTATATATAACGTTAACTTAACGTTACCTCAGAGTTGTGATAGTTTGCGTTTGTTTAGAAATTCGCTGTTAACAAAGTAGCTCACCCAATTATTACACCAGGAAAAATAGCTCAATGTTATTTTTAAACTAAACAACAAAAACGTGGACTTGTCTGTTGACGACTTTCATTTGCACTGAATTTCTTATTGAGCATTGGTTTGACTCCTGACTTTATTTCTGTGCGGTAATGAAAAGCATATACTTACCTTATTCGCTGTGATCGCTTAGAAAAAGTGCTGACATATAAGTTAGTTATGCAGAGAAAACAGATGCTGTGGCTAGAAATAGTCACGCTGTGATATATTTTGTAGCAACGCTGTTCGGGACTTTCAACCACAGTATCCGTTAGATTTGTAAACAGTATGACGCACTTCCGCAAAGTAACCATATGCGTGACGTCACGGATATTGTACTGTTCTCTGATCATAGACTGTAATTTATTCAGTAAAACAAGTTGTTAAAAGACACGAAATCTGCGTGCACTCTTTGTGAATTAGAGGAGGAATCAATAAAACACGTTTTTTGAACGCACATACACCCAAATGTTTTGCTTTGATGTTAAATATCTTATATTTAAACTTACAAAATAAAAAAATAAGTTTTCTAGTTATTTTTTTACATATAATAATAATAATAATAATAATAATAAAACTGGAGCAAATTTTGTTTATTAATTTAATTATTATATATGGGCAGTACCATGTACACAAACAAAAAAGGCTCAATGATAAACCTTAATATATATTTATTTAAAATTGATCTTAAGCATTATATCAAAACCCTAAAAGACATTAAAAATAAAAAAAAGCTATAGGGATGTGTGTGAATTTGGAATCAATTTCTTATGCAATTTTTTTTGTAATTTATATATGTTTTGTAATTTTATTTATTTTTTTGTTTTTATTCTCTACTGATTTTTTCCCTTTTATGAAAAAAATGTTAAGGACTGTATTTTCCTATTTTTTGTATGCTATTGTTCTTGTTATGCAATAAAAAGACCATAGACTGTAAAAATCTATCTATCTATCTATCTATCTATCTATCTATCTATCTATCTATCTATCTATCTATCTATTAGTCAATTAATAAAACAAGAATATATAGTTTACATGAATAAATAACATTTCAGTTATTTACTTTTTTATTATCATAAGACAGCACTCCAATCTCAAAAATAATATATATAAAAACAAATACACACACACACACACACACACACACACACACACACACACACACACACACACACACACACACACACACACACATAAATAAAAAATAAATAAATATTTATTAACCCTCATAACTATTATTAGATAATAACATTTAATGAAAGATTATTTTATTTTTGTTTTCCTAAATATCAGTTAATTGTTTTTCGTATTTATCTTTTTTTAAATGACAACAAAAAAGTTTAACAACATTTGTGCAAAATAAAAACACTAAAATAAATAAGTGACGTGTGCATTTATTAAAATAACGGCGTATAAAATATACACTATTATGCCACTGAATTAGACAAGGGTAGATGTGTGAAACTGTTCCACTAGATGGCAGAATTGACCATAAACCATCTATCATCTGACAATCAATAAAGAATCTAATCACTTCTGTCACTGTATTTAGGTCGTGAGAATAAAGGGGTAGTTCACCCAAAATAAAAATGTACTCATTATTTACAAGTGGTTTCAAGATGTATGAGTTTCTTTCTACTGTTGAACACACACGAAGAAAAAAAAAAATTTTAATAAAAAGCTGAAATTCTGTAACCATTGACTTCAATAACTAAGAAAAACAAGACTATGGAAGTCAATTGTAAGAAGATTCCAACATTCTTCAAAATATCTTGATTTGTTTTTAACAGAAGAAACTCAGTGCAGCATGGTGCCTCGGTGGTTAGCACTGTCGCCTTACAGCAAGAAGGCTATGGTGTGGTAAATGAGTGTTTGGATGTTTCCCAGTACTGGGTTGCGGCTGGAAGGGCATCCGTAGTGTAAAACATATGCTGGAATAGTCGGTGGTTCATTCTGCTGTGGCAACCCCTGATAAATAAGGGACTAAGCCGAAGGAAAATGAATGAATGATTGAATGAATAAATGACATTGGCTGTAGTGTACGTGTAAATGAGTATGTATGGATATTTCCCAGTACTGGGTTGCAGCTGGAAGAGCATCCGCTGTGTAAAACATATGCTGGATAAGTTGGTGGTTCATTCCACTGTGGCGACCCCTGATGAATAAAGGGACTAAGACGAAGGAAAATGAATAAAATTAGCTGTAGTGTATGTGTGAATGAGTGTGTATGGATGTTACCCAGTTCTGGATTGCAGTTGGAAGGGCTTTCGCTGTGTAAAACATATGCTGGATAAGTTGGTGGTTCATTCCACTGTGGCAACCCCTATTGAATAAAGAAACTAAGCCAAAGGAAAATAAATAGAAATGTATTACTTACACATATCTGTGACCATCTTTGGTCGTGTGAAATTAATATTTATAAGTAAAATGGTAACCAACCTTTAGCACAACCCTCCAATCAGGGGTGCCTGTAAGTCCGGCAGAGAATTTAAGACACAAGGATCCAAATTGACCTAAAGTTACTCACGAATGTATTTTATTCAAGCCCATCCAAGGTCACCCGTAATCACAGTGTTGCCTCGGGTGACTAATTACAGGAGCTGAATCAAAGGCCAGCCTCATTTACAGACTCCCGCGTCCTTTAAAGCCCTCCAATTTCCCAGGACTTCCTGAGGGACTGTCGTTGTTGTGCCGGGCAAGCAAAACTCGTTGCATGATATCCCATCAGACCAGCAGCTCCCATAATCCTGCGCAAAAACACAGAATGTCACACCATTAGCATTCCTCATTGGACACAACCTCCTGCTGTAAAGGTAAAACGAGCACTATTGCAGACAGCAAGTCGATAGGATCCAAACTGATTTTTATAAAGGGAAGTGAAGGAAGAGCACATGGGGGAAAATTAAATATAAAAAAAACAAAGACTCTTTCTCTTGAGATAAAGGTCATGCTGTCATGGTCAGAGTTGGAGGATTTGGTCCAGTGCTGTGGGAAGAACAGAAAAATACCTCAGAGAATAATGTGCAGGAATGTTTTAGCGTTTGTGCCAGACTGAAATGATGGTGTAAAACTGTCACTTCAGAATGTATGTAAGAACATTTCGTTACGTATAATGCAGCATTGCAGCAAAGCTCAGCATGTGTGCAGGTTCTTGAGTTTATGTTGTTACATATTTATGGACTGTAAACTACTTAGCAGAGACAACGCTAAACTAGGGTGAACTAGGAGTGTTCTAAGGGCCCATGCACTTTGGCGGTCCCCAGAGATCTGCTATAGACCATTTCAATATGGTGATGTCATAGGCCCATGAACATTTCCTGCTGGTTATTAAACTATTTCATAAGTGTAACGAGGCAATTCAATCATAATGTAATGTTAAAACAGCTATCATAACATTGTTTATCAATAGCCCCTTTCACACAGTGATACCGGTAAATATCCGGAAAATTTCCGGAACGACTTTACCGGTATATTCAAAAAAGCGCTGTTCACACAGGCGAGGACGTTACGGAAATTTTCCGGAAAAGAGCATTCACACATCCATTCCAAAATACCGGTAAATTCTGACATCATTCACCACAAATGAGCTTTAAACGGCTGCGCTTGTATTTGTAAACATTTGACTAAATTACAAACTCTGTGGATGATCAATATTGTAAACAACTTTCACTGGATCATATTCTCATGTCGAGATGTTCATAATATGTGCGTGTGCTGACGCTCACAGGCTGTTTCATGGGCACACGCAAAGCTTGAAGGTAAACAAACAACGGCTTATCATAAGCATCTTATCGATGATTATTTGCACAGTTGGCATTAAGAAGAACATATAAACGTTATCTGACTAACTTCTAGCAGCTAAATGTGTCTGGAAAAAATATTCAAAGGCTTTTATTCTCACAAACCGCGCGGACGTAAATGCGTCTGACTGTTGTGATTGGCTAAAGCAGACGTCTCACGTCAGCACGTTCTAGACGTGCACGAGCTTATTCCGGAAATCTTCCTTCTGCGTTCACACAGCGCAGCATTCCGGCAAATTGCCGGTAATGTTACAACTTCTCTTTCCGGAAAATAGCCAGAACGAATTTACCGGTATTTTCAAAAAGGACCTGTTCACACATACAACCTTTCCGGAAAATTGCCGGTAATTTTCCGGAAAGGTCTGTATGTGTGAAAGGGGCTAATATGTGGCTCTTTTTGGATTCTCAGAAGCTATAGAAATTAAAAATGTAAAACAGCAAATATGTTGGGATATGTTGTTAAATCCCTTAAAATGGTCTATGTTAGTAATAATAGTAGCAGGGGGGCCAACCTTAAATGTGGACCCATTTCAAATTGCGGACATTTCCAGGATTCTCAGCAGTTGACGTCACCATAATTGGGTAAACTTAGAGAGCAGTGAATGGGAGAGTACTTTTTTTTAACAATCCTATTAGCTGAAATATAAAAGAAAAACTTCAAGATAGTCAAGACTTTCAGAAAAAGGAAAAATAGTGTGAGACTGATAGCAGCAGCCAGAAGAGAAAACAACATCAAATATACTGTCCCACCCATAGACATTGCGTTAGAAACACCTCACATAAGCAGTCATTTGTTTTTGTAATTTGATGATACCATACGTAAACACATATACAGTGCATCCAGAAAGTATTCATAGCGCTTGACTTTTTCCACATTTGTTTATGTTTCAGCCTTATTCCAAAGTTTATTAAATCAATTTATTTCCTCAAAATTCTACACACAATACCCCACAATGACAATGTGAAAAAAGATTACATTTATTAAAAATAAAAAACCTGAAAAATCACATGTGCATCAGTATTCACAGCCTTTCTCATGAAGTTCTAAATTGAGCTCAGGCACATTCTGTTTCCACTGATTATTCTTGAGATGTTTTAGCAGCTTATTGGAGTTCACCTGTTGTAAATTCAGTTGATTGGACATGATTTGAAAAGGCATACACCTGTCTATATAAGGTCCCAGGGTTGACAGTGCATGTCAAAGCACAAACCAAGCATGAGGACAAAGGAATTGTCTGTAGACCTCAGAGACTGGCTTGTCTCGAGGCACAAGGCTGAGGAAGGTTACAGAAAAATTTCTACTGCTCTGAAAGTTCCAATGAGCACAGTAGCCGTAAGTGGATGATGTTTGGAGCCACCAGGACTCTTCTTAGAGCTGGCTGGTCATCTAAACTGAGTGATTAGAGGAGAGTCATTGAGGTGATCAACAACCTGATGGTCACTCAGTCTGAGCTCCAGCGTTCTTCTGTGGAGAAATGGGGAACCTTACAG